ATTCTTAACGAATCATTCTCAGAAGTCAAGTGACTTTCCTTTTAGGGTAGAACTTGTCTAAAGTATCTCACAAAGAAAAGAACGTTGCTCGTAAGTCATAAAAAACCGCGGATGGCGGCTTATCAATCATTTCAACGATGGCAATGCTTTGTTTGCTCTAGATAGTCATTGCAGTCCTGTGAGCAAAGAATAGTTTCGGAGCAAAGGTAAACCTTTTGGTCGGCACATTCTGCGAAACGTATAGTAAAACTGCAAGCTCCTCTGAATTCAAAATAGCTGCAGATTAGCATAGAGCAGTTTGGGTAAATGAGTCTGTGGTCTTGGTCATTTTTGGCGAGAACACAATTTATATTGCGTCATAGGTACGCCTTTAATTCTGAGGCGACATACCTTATCTTGTGCTTTTCGAGTTTGTGTCCATGCTGTGAGAGCAGGTTTCATAGCTCGATGCTAAGCACAGAATTGAAATTTGCATGACTCACAAGGATAAAAAATATAGCCAAAAAGAAGATTTTTTTGCTACGCCTTGTGACGTCAGCTTCAGCCTCCTCCTCCGTTTTCCTAACGATCTGACTCACTGTCACTGATAAGGTTTTATCGCCGTCTGGCAAGCAGTAAAACACGACATTTTTGACAGCTACCTTTGGCACTGCTGTTGTCCGAACAAATAATCTTTTCATCGATTTCTTCTTCCCTCAATCAGATACCGCATTTGGCTCGTTGACTCATTTCCGACTTGCTTTAGACGCACAATCTCCCTTCCTTCATTTTTTGCGTCCATTTTTTATTGCTTTCCTCAACGCCCACGACTTGCCTCCCTATATAAAGTTGTGCAGATCGCAAAACTTCAAATACAAACTTTCTTCAGCTTAAATTCTAAACTAACTGAGAAGATGTATCCAAACCAAGGTATTGGCGGAGGAGCATATCCTCAGGTGGGTCAGGTTCCCATTTATACGAAGCAGAAGACCGAATATGTTCGTGATATAAGGTTGTAGAGTGACAGAACTATTGGTTGACCTATTCACGTCCGCTTTGGCCGTTTTCGTCCCTCCACTTCCTCGGGAAACTTGTTCCTCATAACATATGTTTAGGGTTCCGGTATCGGTGGCGGAGCTCAACCTGGATGGGGCGGTGGAATTGGCGGTGGAGCGCAACCGGGCGGCTACACCCCATACGATGTAAATTCTGAATTAATTTTATTTCGCTTTCTTCTATAGTTCAGTATATATTTCTCAGGGTGGAAGTGGAATTGGAGGTGGTGTGAATCCTCAAGGTCCTCCACCAATCGGAGGAGGTGCAGCTCCTGACCCATACTATCCTCAGGTTAGTCTATAAGTAAAGGGTAACGTATTCAGACTTGTTTTTTTAGGGAGGTGGTATTGGAGGTGGTGCAAGACCAGGAAACCCTGGAATTGGAGGGGGTGCTACGATTGGAGGAGGTCCGTTTTTCCCACCCCCGTACCCCGGGCATGGTCCACGTTTCTATGACAGTGTTCTCCATGACAGTATGGCTTTGCATGTCTTTCCCTAGCTCCACACCTATGACACTGCTGTTTCGTAGCTTACTAAAACCTTTTCCAAGTTACCCAACCGTACCTCACAATCCCTGGCCTTACCTTTGGCACCCTCTTATTGCATGAAATGTGTAGCATATTTCTGTGCACGAACACGTAGTGTCTGATGGGTTTGGTGGAGATTTAAATCAGTGAACTAGTCAAGAAGTACTTGCTTTTGCAGGTTTTGGTGGTCCCAGTGGCTG